TGCCTACAAAAATCATAACAGGCTTGGCTGTTGGTCTCAGAATAGACACTGTGACAAGTGTCATGGCGATGTTCTACGGGAATGATATGACACAGTTCAGCAGAAGTAGCTAACATGCTAAGGAAGGTGTCCTTTTCTCCTAGCTTAAGGCATGGGCAGATGAGGCTGGTTGTTTTAAACATAAAGCATTCTTGCTATTTATCAAAAATTCATCTCACTGCCTGTCCTTGAAGCAACGGTTTGCATTGGGAGGGTAAGCCCAGTCAGCTTTCCAGAGAAGGGAAAAAGATGGTGAAAAGGAGTCCATGAGATCTGAGGGACCCTGAGATCCATGTTTCCAGCTGCTCTTAATGAACTTTGACCTTGTGACACTGCAATCCACAATTCGACCCCAGTCCTGGTCACCCCTTGCTATATCATAAATCACTTATTCATCAGCACCAAAAAGTCTTATGGTGCGTCCAGATTCTACAGGTCATTATGGGGACAGCATGGCAAGGGCACTGTGGCTTTGTGGCTTCTAGAGTCTCAGCTAGAGAAACTTGAGCAGCTAAGGAGACTAGGTGACCACTGGGACCAAGGGCCCCAGGAGCTGCCATGGTCTCTGTGCGCTGGCATCTTACCAGCTTGGTGACCGTGAGAAAGCAGGCTTTCCAGCTCACGCAACCCTCAGTGTTCCAGTAGGTGATGCAGAAATCTTTAGTGGCTTCAGGTCTCTTCGGCAACACTCTATAGGATGAAGAAGTCACAGATCTGCTCCAATCCAAAGGGAGGGGACTGAGACCTAACCTCCTCGTGGGAAGAGCGTCAAGGAATTTACGGCCAAAGTTTGCCCAGCTGACTGGCAGGGGTGCCTAGCAGGGACCCATGCTTCTATGGACATTTAGAGAAAGCCAATAAAAATCACACCAGAGTTCAGCCAGACTTCTGCTGCATGCATGCCTGGCTCTGTGCCCACCTGTGACTGTGGCATCCTCCCCTGATGAGGTAAAGTGGGACTAGGGGCTCCCACAGGCCACCTCAGGTCCTGTCTCTGCTTGGCAGGGGGACCTCTGTGGACCGTGTAGCACCTGGGAGCCTTGAGCTCCATTCTGGAGAGGAAGCGAGGAGAGAATGCTGGTGAAGCCCAAGTACCAGCAGGTTCTCAGTTTCCTTCCGGAGACCGGGGAGGGTGGGGCAGGGTGCCACATACAGGCGGATCTGAGAACCTGACTCACTGGGTTCTCTCCGAGTTCCACTGTGTGGCATGTCTGCACTTGAAGCTACAGCAAGCATCTCTCAGGCCTGTGCTCCCTGCTCTAATTACAGCTTTCTGGACACATTTCCTGCTTGGGAGCTGGCAGGGTCCCCTCAGAGAATCCACAGATAACGAGCAGCTGGCTGCAGGGCCTCTATCCTCCACGGGGCGCAGATCCAGGAGCAGGCCTGAGCAGGCCCAGCTCTGAGGGCAGGAGTCCTCCAAGGCCACCTGGTCCCAGTCCTCCCTGCCTGCACTCACACGAGACCATAGTCTCTGCTTGCATGGCTCCTGTGACAGGAAGATAACCCTCTCATAGGCAGCCTGCTCATCTGTATCAGCACAAATCACTAAAGTTTTCTGAAACAGGCCTGTCCTTCCATCTTAGCTGTCAATTCCCAGTCCTCCAGGAAGAAAGCGGCATAGAACAGAAGCAAATGTGCAGCCTCTGGGTTTGCAAGAAACTGGCTTTGCTTCAAGTCTTGCCTCTGCCCTTTGCAGGCTCTGCAGTTTTGATTTCTTTGAGCCTCAGTTTTCCCATCTGTAAAATAATAATGCTCAGTACAAAGGAGGTTGGGAGGATGTAAACACTGGGCTCACAACCCATGTCAGGAGTGTGCTGTTTCCTCTTACGCCCCCTTGGACACACTGAACTAGGGTGGCGTCTTTAGGCTTGGTGAACAGTGACATGCTCAGACACTCGCAAGTGATGGGCCTGAAGAACCAGTGGTACTTTGGCAATCAAGCAGGTAGGTTATCTCCTCGGCCACCTGGTGGCACCTCATGGCAAGCGAGAGAGGCCAAGCTTTCTCATGTCAGTTTCAAGGCACAACTGGATGGATGGATGGATGGATGGATGGATGGATGGATGGATGGATGATGGATGGGTGAGTGGGTGGAAGAATAAATGGGTGTGTGGGTAAATGGGTGAGTGGATGGATGGATAGATGAGTAGATGAGTGAATGGGTGTGTAAATAGGTGGGTGGAAGAATGGGTATATGGATGGGTGGATGGATGGATGGATGGATGGATGGATGGATGGGTGGGTGGATAGATGGATGGACAGATGGGTGGGTGGATGAATGGATAATGTGGAAGGATGAGTGGCTATGCACATGAATAGGTGAATGAATGGATGAGTGGATAAGTGACTGAGTGGATGGATGGGTATGTAGATGGGTGAATGAGCAGATGGATAGACAGGCAGTTGAGTAGATGGGTGAACAGATGGATGGGTGGATGGGTGAACAAGTAAAGATTTAATAGGTTTCCAACTACCATCAGGAAACACCCAATCCCTTTTAATTCCAGCCCTACCGAATACCATATTTTGGTTGGGAAACAGTGTGAAGCAGTGATGTTTACACTTACATAAGCAGTAGCAGAGGGCTTGTAAAACAGACTGCTGGGTCCCATCTGCAGAGATTTTGACTCAGGGCCAGGTGGAGGGTGGCCCTAAGACTGCATTTCTAACCAGCTTCCGGTTGCAGTTGTGGCTGCTACTCTGCAAGCCGCATCTGAGTCATTCTTGGAGGAAAGCAGAACAGCTGGCTTCCAAGAGTCCTTTCCAAACAAGCCCACAGCCAAGGTGGGGTTGCGTGGCCGAGGAGAGGTCATCAGGAGGGGGGAGAAAAATGCCTCCCCAGCCCTGGTCATCATCCTTGCTGCTACCTCTGCAATCTGCTGTCCGTCTGCAGCCCGGGCTCTCATAAAAGTCTCTATAAAACCACAATAGCTTCACTGTAGGCAGAGATTCGATCGGTGAGATACCACCTTCCTATGGGAATTCAGGTGGCACAGGACTCTCACTAAGTAGGACAAGTTCTCATTTACTTCAAGACTTACAGACTTGCAGCAGGGAGAAACCCTGGGAAGAAGAAAGTCCCCTGGTTTCCCAGGTGTACACACATAGGCACGCATACACATGCATGTGTACTCATGCACTCACACACACACAGAGGGGCCCTCTCCAGACACCTATTGGGTCTTCCTCACGGTCAGTCCCACGGATGGTGGTCCCTTGGCTCAGGATTCAGCTGAGGCACTAATTTGCTGTGTGGCCTTAAACATATGCCCTCTCTTCTCTGTTCTACATTTTCCTGCCTGTAGAACAAGGTAGTTGGTAACCCTGGTGCCGCATCCTCTTATCATTTTGCCTTTACCACAACCATACCAAGAAACCAGGATCCATCATCTGTGCCTTACAGTCAAGGAAACTGAGGCACATAGTGAGCTGAAGAGCTGGATTCAGGGATTCAGCAGCTAGTGGTTTCACAGACCATCGCACATCCTGCGCTGAGACCTCCACCCTAGCCAAGGCTGAGCCTCCCAGCTCTCTTCTAGACTGAGGATTGTTCCTTCTGAGAACTGCTTTTCCCCTCCAAGACCACACCAGCAAGGACATGGACAGATAGGACAGGCCATCATAAAGACTATCCTCCACACCCTCGGCCCAGATGGGGGTCCAGGCAGGGCCAGAGAGAGGCAATCCCAGGCCAGGCTTCAGAGGTGACCACAGATCACCTCTGGGGTTCTGGTAGTGCTTCTCCTGTCCATCCCCACCATCTGCTCAACAATATCCCCCACCCCATGCTCGTAGGAGCCCCAAACACTAACACAGCACATCTCCAAGAAGAGACAGGTCAGCTCTGTGCACCTATCCAGGATGTTTTCCTCCAGGAGCTACAAGGACACTATTTTAACTAACACATGGGCAGCTTAGTGTCACTACAGAAAATCAACTTTGTTTTGCGCTCCTTCACGCAAGTGCACCTGAGGACACCCTAGTGACTCCGTAATGAAGACAGCACGAATGAAGGGGTGGATTGAGCAGTCTCCTCCTAACTGATTCGCTGCAGGGATTCCACAAACATAAACTGAAGCTGCTCTCCTGCTTAAGTACCTTCATTTTAGAAAAGTTGTTTTTTACACCAGCTACATTGTCTGTGTTAATATGGGGTGGCATGCCCTTGTTAGTTTTTAATTAATAGTAAATGTACAATTTCTCCATTTTGATTTCTTGTCTTTTTGGTACCTGGGATTGAACTCATGACTGCGCACTTGCATGGCAGGCGCTTATTACTCAGTAGGTTTTTAATAGGGAAATACTGAGGCTTAGGAACTGCTGACTGGGAGACCTGCCCAGCTCTTTGCAGCTGATTGGACAAAGGGCTGAGCTCTGACCTTGCAAGGAGACCTGGAGGGAAACCATGGTCCCCAGTGGGGCAGGACAGAAGCATCTATAAGGAGCAGAGGCTGAGGTCCAGCCAGAGACGCCATAAGAAGACAGGAAAGCTAGACTTCATACGGAACCAGGGCCAGGGAGACCAAGGCCCATTCGATGCAGAACCGCATCTCCAGGGATTTTGTGCTGATGCCCGGGCCACACTCCGCTCTCCCTGCAGTCCACTGGTGTGGCTGACCCAGGGCCTCACAGTGGACGTCTCCTCTGCCCTCCAGCCCTGAGTTCAGCTGACCCCTTTGTTCCTTGCCATCATCAGAGCCCAGCCGCCAGCCTTGCCTGCTGCCCTGGCTGTGGGACCTGGGACAGAATGCTGAGAGATGGTTCTCTTGCAGTCATGCAGCCCAGACCAGGGAGGCACCCAGAGGCCTGATATCATCACACAGGGCAGGGCCTGGCCTGTTCCAGCCCTCGACAGGTGCAGCTAATATTAGGATGCTTGGCCCTCCTCAACTGCTACCGTTATTCTTAGTGGTGGTATTAATATCACAGCAGGAAATGGTCTTCAAGGTCACAGAGCTCTAGCACTCTGTTTTATTGAGGGATAAACAGGAAGGCTGGGAGCAGGTCAGAGGCAGAGCTGGAGTCAGAGCCTGTTCTTCTCTCCCACCCAGCAGGGTCCTGGTGAGACTGGCAGCTCCTGGTGGTGTGTGTATGTGTGTGTGTGTGTGTGTGTGTGTGTGTGTGTGTAGCAATGTCCACACCCACACACACAGCCATCCCTTCCTTCTCCCAGCAGTCATTGCTGTGAACAAATCCCGCAGGCCAGGCGTGAGGCCAAGTGCTGTCTGCCCACAACAGGGCTTGGCTCAAAAGTGGTTCAATCGATGTTTATAGATTGATTCTTGGCCTCTCCCATCTGGCCGGACCCTGGGAAATCAGGCTAGGGGTGGGGGTTGGAAAGGGTTTTGTGAGCCAGCCTCTATTACCAAATACAGCCGCTGTGCCCCTTGGCTCCCATGCCCACCGTCTGCTCTGAGTTCCTCTAGGTTGGGCAAGGCCTGATCCTAAGCCCTTGAGCAGGAGAAGAAACAAGACCAGGAGAGCTTTAGCGCCTGCCTCAGGACCCGCAGCCAGGGCTGGTGGACAAGTCTCTCGGCACGAGGTCTAGATTCACACTGTGAGTGGCTCAGGTAAGAGGAGACGTGTCGAAAGTGCCTGAGACTGAGAGTGGACAGCAGGGTCTCAAGGGTCTTTGGGGGCAGAGGGAAGGTAGAGGAGGGGAGTCCCTGTTGCTGAGGGTGTCACAGAAACCCAGCCGTGGAAGGGCCATTCCCACGGAGCAGCTCTGGTCTCTGATCCTTCACACCTGGGGAGAGGGGGCCATTGTTATGGTTGATTAATTATATCAACTTGAGAAGTCTAAGACCTTAACTAAGTAACTCCGTAGTTCCGCATCCCAGAGTATAAGGACATGCCCATACTCCTCTAGGATGTTGTTCATTGTGTCAACTTGAGAACTGTAGAAGCTTAAGTGACTCAGCAGGGGCCCAGGGTCTTCACTTTATCAACATCCTGAGCCTGTACAAGAGGAGTGCATCAAGATGGTGTGAGTGCTATACCTACCGGAGGGTGGGCAGACTGCCTACCATATAAGGGAGGAAAAGAAACTTGTTCCCCACTTATGCTCTTGTTGCTTTTTCTGTCTTCTGCCACCTTGAAGTGTTGCCCCTGTGCCATGCCATCCTGCCTTGTAGCCAGCTGATTATGGACTGAAACCTCCACAAACAGTGAGCTAAATAAACCTTTCCTTCCTTAATTTTGGGCACTGGGTATTTTGTCTCAGTAAGGAGAGAAATGCAACTAATATAGGCATCCATGCCAGGCAAAACCCTGGACTGATGAAGAGGAAGAAAGGTGAAGCCCCTGGTCTTGTAGAGCCACAGGCCTACAGAAGGCAGGGTGGCGGAGAAGAGGTGGTAGCAGTCCCAGTGCTCAGGGGCAGCTCCTGGGAGGAACTGGAAGGGCAGGTAGAAGGAAAGGGGCACTGATAGATGGTGAGGAATCCGAGGAGGCTGGGTTTGATGTGGGGCACCTCCCACATTCTGTTCCCACCTGCATCTTCCAATCCCTCCTGTCACTAAGTGTCTCTCTAGCCAGGTGCGAGGCTCTCTGCCTATCCAGGGCCTGGCCCCAAACTAGACCCAGTGACTGCTAAGCAGGTGACATGCTGGTTCCATCAAGAGCCTGAGAATGCACAGAGAGGACAACCACCGTCCCTGTGCGCCACATACTGAGCCCTGATTCCTGCTTCCCCAGTGGAAAACAGGGTGCTAAGGGGAGGGACTGGAGTGGGTGCAATCTGATAGCTCAGGTCTCCACCCCTCCACACATATGATTATGACTCCCAGTAGTCATAGTTCTGTGGGCAGCAGAGGCCAGAAAGCCCCTGACACCCACCAGGATAAGGCTATAAGCTGACCCTTGGCTCCCACTCCATCCAGGCTTCTCTGGCCTCAATTGGTAGCGCTGGACTTGGGGACAATGCTTTCCCAGGCTTCAGGAAGGGTCCAAACTACTGGGTCATCACTGCCCCAGGACAGCAGCTCTTACATGCATCCTCGGTCTAGCTTCCTCAACACCCCCAAACAAATCGGTTAGCAGATGCTTCTGAAGTCGCTGAGGTCCAGGATAAGGTCTGTGCCTTCCCAGCCACACAGACCTGTGCACGCGTGCACATGCCCACACACTCAGCATGGCGCTCCCGTAGGCAGGCTCTGCTGCAGGGAGGCCAGGAGCAGCAGGCCACAGCAGGGCCCCTAACAAAGGCGGGGCACTGGCAGCCGGAGGAGGGGGAGGACAGGAGGGATGTGGCTGGGAGCCTAACAGGCCACCAGCAGCCGCAGCATCTGCTTTTTCTCACCTCTAAAGGGAATCGATTTGTCTCTGACTGATCTCCCTGACGTCTACTTTTCCTCTCCGCCTGCCTGGCTGTCAGCTCAGGCACTGTGCACAGGGAGAGGAGGAAGCACCCGCTGCCCGTCACCCTCCCCACACTGCTCACTCCCTCGCATGCACACCCCGTGTTGCCCTTATGCTCACACCCCATAGAGAGGTCTGCCTGCACCCCAGCTGTCAGGAGCAGACCCTGCAAGTAATACACACACACACACACACACACACACACACACACACACACACACACCACATGATGCAAACACCCCACACACACAGGCAGACCTGCTCATGCAGTACAAATACACACATATATACAATACAAACATACACCAATGGACACACACTGGCCTGGAAGCTCACTCACATTCCCAGGCACCAGAAAAGGCTCACCCAGCTGCCCCCACACTCACCCCACACACACATACTACACTGCCATTCTCAGACAACAAATGGCATGTACATACATGCTCCTCACAATCGCAGAGGGCACAAATGCAGAGGGCACACAGCCACATGGCTACCCCTATTTGTACCCTATGCACACCACACACACACACTGATTCTCTCCAGCATTGCCATAACTCCCAGGACACCCCATGATCACCCTCCTGGGGGAGTCACTGATGCATGTATACTACATATGGGCTCCCATTCTGGCCTGCACTTCGGCCTCACATGCTCTTTGCAGGCCCCATGGTGCCCCATGCTCTTTGTGGATCCAAATCCTGAGTTCTCCTGGCCCCCCACTGTGGCAATGTCACCTACATGCTGCTTATCCCTTTACTCAGTAGATCATCTTGTGGGGAGCAGATGGCCTGGACCTGATGTGCACCCCAGGTCTCCAAACTCTGAGTGGAGGAGCCCTGGTATGGGTGAAGAAAAGGGTATACTAGCCAGCCGAGGTTTACAAGGTGCTTTTTGTCTCGCCAGCTTATCTCAGAGTGGCCTTGGTTCCAGTGACAGAGGGTATAAACAAGGATGTCAAATCTTCAACATCACCAGAACTGCTTGGTCACTAGCTTCCCACACTCCAGAGGACCCTGGCCAATCAACAACAACAACAATGACAACAGCAAACAGAGCAATAATAATACAAATGACCATCACTGTGTCCCTGGTAACACTGCATTGAATCCTGGGAGCATCACCCCAGCTTGGCATTATTCCCATCTCGAGGATGAGGAAGCTGAGGCCTGAATCGGGAAAGGGACTTATCCAGGGTCCGATATGGCCAGGAAATTTAGACCTCTGGCTGCAACCCAGACATCCTGGTTGCATGCCAAAAATTCAAACCGAACCAACCTCCTGCAGACAATGGTCCATCTGTCCTCAGAAACCTCATCTGGCCATCCACACAGGTACTGCCTGCCTTGGGGACATGAAGGAAGCTCTCAGTGGGTGCTGGTGAGACTGTGCAGAGCGTATGGAGGGAAGTGTGACTGTCAGGGCGTGGGCCAGGTGTTCACAAGGAGGTGGGCAGGTGCTAGAGGGGTGCATGACTGTGTGGGTATGAGGGAGCTGTGTGCAGGGCCTGGGCTGCTACCCGATGCAGAAACATGAAACGCTAAGGACAGAAGAGACTGCAGGGAAGAAGTGATGCATGTGCCCAGAGATGTGCACACTGGTGTGTGAGCATGACACAGGTACCCACTCTGGGTGAGCGTCAGGTTCCCCTCTCCAACCCCGTCTCTGGATCCCTGCCCTCCCCCGGACTTTATCTGGCTGGGCAGCCCTGCTCTCTGCACAGCAGCAGATAATTGATTAATAGAACTGGTCCTTGGCTCTTCAAGGTCTGGCTACAGATAAGAGGAGACGCAAGTACCAGCCAGAGGGGGTACTGCAGATTCCAGGGCTGAGCTCTGAGGCCAAAGGCCATAGGCACCCCTATCCCAGCCCTCAGCTCTCCCTCTGATGCCAGGGTTCCCCCTGTTGCCAGAGCAACACGTGCCAGGAAGAGGCAACACCATTAGTCTCTAGAGGACATGGACAGACAAACAAATTAATAGCTTAGTGTCCCCCCCCTCCCCACACCCACTCATCCCAGCTCAGCACCTATTGGGTAGTCAGCGGGGGGTGACTCCTAGAGCCCCAGAGGCTGATAAATACAGGGCCTGCCTCAGCGACATCACAGCCCTGGCGGCCTCTAAGGACATCCTCCAGGCCAGCAAGACAGATGGAATCTCAAAGGCCCAGTCCCTGAGGGGAGGCCATCACTCAGATCTGCCATTATTTGGGGCCAGGACTGCTGGCTGCTGCCAGCAGGAGAGGTTGGGGGGAATGGACAGACAGAACCATCCAGGAACAGCAGTGACAGGAAATGCTCCCCACCGCAGATTTTTGGTTGTCAGGACACTGTGCTGATGTACGGTTAGAGCGAGTGCCACCCTACCTGTCAACAGCCCTGCGGGACAAGTACTGTCACCATCTCATCTGTAAGAGCTCAGAGAAATCAGGAAAGGGGACAGATGGAGCTTTAGACAGTCACAGTCCTGGCCTTTAGGGTAGGAGAGGAAAAAGCCAGTGGAGAACACACAGCTCCTCCCAGGGCTCCTTTCAAGCTGCCATAGCACCCCCAGGACTAACTCCAGGATGGCTAGGGCCCAGGGCAAGCAGGTTAGGTGGAAGATGGGGGGACCCTGGCTCGTATCCCAGGGGATAGGTCACATAGCCACACCTCCTACAGCCATGAAGCAGCGATGGCCTGCTGGTCTCCGTGGAACAGTACTGCCCCAATCTGCCAGGCAGTACTTCTAGAACATTCTCACCATCCTGGCATGGCCCAAGCATGGCATGCCCTGCAGCCTCCTTTAGCTGGGCCTACTCTAGACTGATCATTAGGATTTCTCTTAATGCCAGGGGTAGAACACCAGACCTCAAGCATGCTAAGCCCATGTTCTACTGCCCTGGAATGGCAATATATGGTGAAATAGCAAATCCAGGGTCAAAGAGGCAGCAGACCTCATTTTACCCGTAGAGAAACTGAGGCCAGAATGAGCTAACATGATGTTGGTTGCAGAGCTGGTCCACGCAGGCTGGAATTTGGGCTCACACATTCTGAAGTGTACCTGGACCTTGTGGAGAGTGGGGCCAAAGCCACCAAACATATGTAAAGCATAATTCAGATTTCCAACCTCTCCTCCTCCTCCTGCTCCATCCACTTCTGCCCCATTTTCCTCGCTTCCATCCTATCCCAGCACCTGTCTCCTCCTCCTGCTCTTCCCCGTCCTTTTTCATCTTCATTTTGTCTTTGTTCTTTTTGCTGTTCCTCCTTCTTCCTTGCACATTCTCTTGCTTAAGAGCAGCATCAAAATGTCCTCTGGTTTCAGATTAAACAAGATCTCTCTATGAGGAAGATCTCAGTGTCCCTACTCTTTGTTTGCAGTAGACAGAATAATGGCCCCAAACAGGGACCCTTCCCTCCTTGAGATCCAGGAAGTATTAGGTTATGGGAAAAGGGGAACTAAGGCCAGCTGGCCTTGACATGAAGAGAGTGTCCCATAATGAGGGCCCAACATCATCCCAGGATACACAAGAGGTGGCAGCATGGGAGGGACTCAGTCTAACAATGCTGACTTTGAAGAAATAAAAGGGACATCCAGTTGAGGAATGCAGCAGCCTCCAGACACTAGAAAAAGCAAAGAACCAGATTTTCTCTTAGAGTTTCAGAAAGAAAACAGCCTGCACAACACCTTGATTTTAACCTCATGAGACCCACTTTGGAATTCTGATCGAGATCTCCTCTGCTTTATCTTTGTAGTCCACAGCTTTACTAAGAGCTTCCTTTCTGGGCAACTCACAGCATTTTAAATCATTCTGCTGTATTCTTTGCTCTTGATTCTCCTGGAGAAGCTTATCATGCTTGATATGAATTCAGTTGTTCTCATCATCAGAGGAGCTTGTCCTTGCTGTCGCTGAGGATGGCTGCAGTTCTTTTCAAGAGATCTCTGGTTCTTACTTTGAACATTCCTTACTAGCTGTATTGTAGATCCCTCAGCCTGCCAGCTCAGATCTTTCACCACGCTGACACAGACTTTCTAGCTTCCACTGCTGATTTCTGGGCCTTCCCAGTACAGATCATTGGTACAGACTTGCATGGGACATTGCCATGGGCTCTAGACTTCTAGCTGAACTCATGGAGGACATTGTCATGGGCTCTAGGTCTTCAGTTGGCCTCCTGCAGGACATTACTATGGGATCTAGGCCCTCAGCTAGATTTTTTGGGTCTCTAGTGTATGGACAGATCTCTGGCACTCTGCATTTAACTCTGTGGGTAAATATTATTAAATAATCCTATAAATTATGTATCTTGTATTAAATCTATTCCCTTAAAGCTCTTGACTACAACAAATTTGGTGCCAGAGAAGTAGTGTTGTTGCTGTGACTATACTTGGCCATGTGGTTCAGGAGCCTTTGGGAATGGTTTATGGGAAGTGTTTGGAATGATTTGGAGATCCCAGGTGAAAAAGTAGAGATATTATGCCTTAGGCTCTCCTGTATGGGAGACTCTGACCAGAGCTCAGAAGACCAGAAAGACAGTAAAGACCAGGCTCTGGAGATTTCTGCTTCGAAGAAGGACTCCAGATAATGTATAGTATGGCTTGGCAGAAAGTTTGTCTGCATTTTACTTGTGTCCAGACACTTTGCCTGAGACTGAGATGCAGGACAGTGAACTAATTATTCCTATAGAAGAAATTTCAAGGCAATTGAATGTTGAAGGAGTAGCATGGCTACTGTTGGAAGTTTTTACCCAAATCTGTATTGAGAATCAAGATGAAAGAGCACAGTAGAATGATTTAAAACAGTGTGAGTTTGGTGAGAAAGGAAGACAAAGCTGTGGACAAGAAAGATAAAGGACATAATTTAATTGCTGAGAAGGAACAGGAGAATAGAAAAGATGGCCTGAAGGCATCACAAGAGGCAACAGGACTTCACCCTTTGCAGTATCAAAGTTGCAAAAGTGAAAGACTTCGCTTTGAGAAGAGATCCCAAGAGCACCATGTTCCACAATGGCAGCAGCATAGAGAATTTGTTTCTCAGAATTGGATTCAGAGTGCTCAGTGATCCAGACACTTGGTTCCAACAACCAAGGAAGAGGGAAGCCTGGCTACTGCTCTTGCAGGCAGCAGATTCTGGCATCTGGTGCTCTTTTTATTCTATTTTATTTTATATATTGGAGACACAGTCTTGCTATGCAGTTCAGGCTGGCCTGGAACTGACTTTGTAGCCCAGGTTGTCTCAAACTTACAACAATTCTCCTGCTTCAGCCTCCCAAGTGCTGGGATTACAAGTATGCACTGCCTCACCCAGCTTGCAGAGCTGGTTTTAAATGTACACAGAATGAAAGAGTTATGGGGTCAGGCAGGCTTCCACTCATATTTCAGAAGGAGGCTTTGGAAGTGAGGCAGTGTGCCCTTAAAAAGGCAGTGTGCAAAACTGGAGTGTGAAGCCAAAAGTTCAGTGGGGACCCCAGAAGAAGCCAGGAGTGTGGATTGTCAGAATAACTGTAAAGAGGGTGCAGATCAGGACCAAGAGAGAAGCCATGGGAGCTACAACCACAGGAAATGCTATAGGGGTGGAGCCATCCAAACTCTCTGGAGTTCACATCTTGCCACTGATTGCCTCAGATGCTGCACGTGGAACTAAATGACTTAATGTTTACCCTGCTGGATTTTGAACTTGCTCTGGTCCCAGTCCTTTGTATCTCTCTATTTGTAACTTTTGGAATGGAAAAGTCTATATTGTATCATTGAATTAGAGATGCTTAACTTTCTTTTCATTTGTACAGGGGCTCATAACTAAGAGTTTGCCTTAAATCCAGAGATTTCAGGATTGAACTTTTCAGCAATGTGAAACCGTTAGGACTGTGGCAACTCTTAGAAATGGACTAAATGCTTTTTGGGTAAAGAAATGTACGTAAGTCTTTGGGGAGTCAGGGATGAAATGTTATGCCTTGCGTCTAGATGTCTCCCTAAAGCCTCACATAGTTTTAGAAGGAGCTATTTCAGAGATAGCTGAATCTAGAGCTTATGATTCATTGACAGTTCAAGGTGCTTGGGTTAAGGGTATAAGGTTGCACCTGCTCTAGGCTGCCCTAGGGTGGGTAGACTGCATAGAACATAAGGGACAGAAAGAGGCTTGCTACCTCCTTCTCTATCATTGTTTTTACTCTCTTCCACTGCTATGAACTATTGTCCTTATGGTATGTACCACTGAGGCTTGGAGCCAATTGATTATGGACTGAAACCTCCACAAACTGTGAGCTATATAAATCTTTCCTTCTTGAACTTTGAGTGTCGAGTATTTTTTCTCAAAATTGAGAGAAAAGTAACTAAGACAGCAGTAAACCTTTTTTTTCAAATTCCATTTTTTGTGGTCATTGGTCTTTGTCTACAGCAAACCAGTGTACCATCCATGTCCCCCAAAGCTAACTCTAAATTATGCCAACTCCATCATTACCACAACTACCCATGTGGGCCTCTAAACTGTCTCCCAGGATTGATTTCCAGTGCATGGCTCTGTCCCTATGAATCTTCCACGCCAGTCACTCTTTCCCTTTCTGTTATTTATAGGCATCGGTCATGGAGTGAGCCCCTCCACGGTCTTTTCTTCCCTTTGCCCAGCATTCCTCAGAATTCAGTTCTGACTGCATCTCCAGAAACATCTTTCAAATCTCATTCCTTGCTCCAAGCTTCCCATTGAGTTGTGGGGCCTACCATGCCCAGGCCAAAGTTCCTGAAGCATAGACTCAGTCTGCCTGCTACTAAAGTGTTTGAGGAGGGCAGCATGGTCTCTGCTGGCTGTGTGGTCTTAGACCCAGGCCCTCTCTAGACCTCTGACACCTATCTATGCAACAGAATGGAGCCCCTTAAGTTCTATGGAAGGCCAACTCCCAAGCACCTGCCTTCTCTCCTTTCTGCTTGTCACCATAAAGAGAGGACAGGGGAGGGGAGAAGGAGAGGGAAGAAGGGAAAGAAGAGGGAGGAGAGGGGAGATCTTCATCCTTACAGAAATTGTATTCAAATGTTTTATTATGTTCTCTGGCTCGGGCAGCACCTTAGTTAATGGTGTGTCAGATGATGGTACAAATTTATAGCTGAAGGTTTACATCACAGACAGCTGGAATGAATGACAATAAATTAATTTAAAGTGCTACCAAAGTGTTCCCCAAAGTATATGTGCTTATGAGCTCTGTGCTAATAATTTATAAATGCATGCCTTTTATAATCCCAGTCTTAAGTCTTGAAAGCAGCTAGTTAAAAAGCAGTCACATGACATAAATTATTTTTATTAATATCACACAAGCATGATTAGGACGGTGGGAATGGTGGTCACCAGTCCATGGCTGCTGCAGGCTTCCTCCTCATCTCTTCTTTCCTCATTTCTGTGCTGAGGGGACAGGGACCTGACAGTCCTAAGCTCTGCTCTGCCTGAGCACACCCTGACCCTACTTTTCTGAAGGAAGAGGGCAGTGAAATTCTCAGCCATTATGGTGTCCCTCCTCTCCAGAGTTTTTGTGACATCTTCCTCCTCCTGAGGCAGAGAATAGCAAACAGTGTTTGTGTGCAGGCAATCAGTACACACATTCATACAGGAGAGGGAGGGAGAAAAAGAGAAAGAACAGAGATCAGAGACGAGGAGAAGAGAAAGGAGAGACAGAGACACAGCAGCCTGGAAGACAGGAGAGAGGGAGAGAGGATGGAGGAGACAAAAAGAAAAGAGGGGAGGGGAGAGGAGAGGAGAATAGGGGAGAGAGATTCACCGAGACTCAGCTGTTTCACCTGTAAAAGGAGCATCACAACACTCACCTCTCAGGGCCCTTGGCAGAACTGATTGAGGCCACACATTAGCACTCAATAAAATGCTTTTATTGGCTGCTCTCTCCCACTACCAACCTACAAAGGGAGGGAAGACTTCCAAGAGGTTTATATCACTGGGCCTCTTGTGGTTGGTTGAGCTGCTCAGACTCTGTTGATAACTCTGAGCTGACTTTGTCCTCTTGGAGTCCCATCCCAAACCTCTTCCCCCTAAAGCCATGCCCTGCACTGGTGCCCTATGCCCTATCAGGCCATGTCTTGGTGGATCCTTCTGTTCAGTTCTCAGAGGCTTCACTCTTCCTTGAAGACTGCTCAAGGCTTTGCATCTCCTCTGCCCAAGACATGGGGTCCAGTCTCACGTCTACTCCTTGAATCTGGGCTGGCCTGTAACCTGCACCGCCCTACAGAATGTGATAGCAGTGGCACCTTGTGACTTCCAATGTTGAATCCTAAGACATCTGATTTGCAACATCTGGAAAAGGAGCTCCATGGCTCCTTTTCCAGAAGAGAAGAGACCCAACCATGGTGGAGGACTCACTGGAGTAGGAACAGCACACTTTGGTGGCAGCCTCAGCCAGGCTCTAAACAGTGACCCACATCAGCCCCAGCCATGTGTCTGAGCTGTCTCCATGCTCTGTTCAACCCCCAGATGCCTGTCCTGCACGAAGCAGAAGCAAGAGTTGAGCCCAGGCAATCTGGGAAAGGGGAGTGGTGATGAATGGCTGCCACCACAAGGCCCTAGTTTAGGGGGTTTGACTCACAGCAGCAGATCCCTGGGATCCCCCCCTTCTACTGACAGCTTTGCCATCCAGCCTCCCCTATCCAGAGCCTCCTCGTGTCCTGCACCCCTGTTTGCAATCACACTGCAAAGAAGAGCTGTGTCCCAAACCACCTCTCCTCTGTCACTCCTCCCAGAGGCTCATCTCTAAGGTCACCAGGAACCGTGCATCCTGCAGAGGTGCTCACTTGACCCTTGCATGGCACACTTCCTAGTGCCCACTCTGCTTTCCACATTTCCCTGGTTCCTGACACAATCTCTGGGTTCCCTACTCTGTCTTTCCATGCCATTCCCTGCATATCCGTCCTTCTACTGCCTGTTGAGGCCTCAGGTCTCTATCTTGCACTGGCATCCTCCACCCTCTGGGCTCACCTCCATGCAAGCCCACCCACCTGCTGTGTGCCATGTTTCCAAGTCTGTGTCCAGTCCACCCAACGCCCCATGCACAGTGTATGTGGGGTCCTGTAGACACATTAGCCTCACAGATCCCACGCTTACTCATCCCCTCTTAATCTCATCATCAGTCAGCTCTCCAGGTCACCAGTCTTAGTCCCCCCGCCTACCCCACTAAGCCAGTCACCAGATCCTGGCAGGGCAACCTCTAAGTTGATCTAAAATCTATTGGTCCTTTGCGTCTTTGGGTTCCTGCTGTCCCTCAGCTGAAGTACTTGAAACACCACACTCTGTACCCCTACATATATTCTCAGTCCTTTCATCACTGAAAAGTAGTGAGACCCTAATTCTATCACCTTCCAACTTATATGGCATCAAGAGAGTCCCAACTATCTTCCCCATAGGAGCACAGCACCATGTGCTGATGCCCCCCACACACTCTAAGCCAAATTGGCCAGTCTCTACACATACTGGACTCATCCCCACAAGGGCCTTCACACGGGTTCCTAGGCCAGGATGCCCTTCTTTTCTCCATTGGCTGAAGAAGCCAAATTCTATGGTCTTGGCATCCCGAAAGGAGGATTGCTGAACCCACCCTGGGGAGCTGCCCTGTGGGCTACACTACTGCCTGCTCACTTGTCCCATCATCTCCACCCTCATCTCTCCCCACATCCATCCTCACCTGCCTTCCCTTCCTTCTTCCGGGAACTTAGCTCCCAGAAATTAGCTGTTTGATGAATAATTAGCCTCTCAGGGGAGCACAGCTCAGAGTGGGCAGAAACTGTTTGTCACAGTGTAGCACAGCGGGGAGCACACCTGTGAACTAGAGGGTGATGATCGTCATACCTTGCCTCCTCATCAGGTCCTCTTCCTGTTACCTCAAAGCCAGGTCTGAACAGATCTATAGAGGAGTCGCCACCTCCGCCTCCACTCAGCCCCTCAGCCACTCAACACTCATTCATGGAGCGCTCACCATGTTCCAGCCCCCATGGCCAAACCAGTGACAAACGAATGGATCATCAAATCACTCAGATGTGAACAGGAACAAACTCCTGACACACAAAGCAGTGTGGATGCCTTTCTAAAGCAACACACTACATAAAAGCCAAACACCACCACTGCCCACTGGAATCATCATATGACATCCTAGAAGAGGTGACCTACAGGGACAGAAAACAGATCGGGGCTTCCAAGGCTGGAGTCCCAAGAGAAAAAGTCAGGGGGGAGCTGAGATGCCTTTTAGATATCTTGGAAGTCATCCAGCATCACTTCTGCCACATCTAGTCACCAGGAACCAGTCACTAAAGCCAACCCTTTAGAATTAGAGGCCATCTTCTGATGAGAGGAGTGTCCAACAATGTGAAAACCTCTTCTAAGCATTGTGGATCTAGCCTAAATGTCAAGCAATGCCATATTCGCTAGGCATGATGGCTGCGGGCACCGACCTCCATGGGGTCTCTAACAGGGCAGTAGACGTTGGGTGGCCTCGAGGCAGTAGCTTTGTAGTGCAATAACAGTATTATAACAATTCTTTTTTTTTTTTTTTTTTTTTTTTGGTCTTTTTTCATTTTTATCGGTACCGGGGATCGAACTCACGGCCACCTGCTTGCAAGGCAGGTGCTTATGCCGCTGAGCTAAACCCCCAGCCCCTATTATAACAATTCTAATAAGTAATTGGGAAGAAAAGAAAGTCATTTCCATTGCTTACTCTCTGTGTGACCGTAAGTCATTGTCCTCTCTGTGCCTCAGTTCCTTGATCTGTAAAATAGACCTAACTATACACGTAACAGTGTTTGTAGGAGATCGAGTGAGAGAATTATGTAAAAGGCTGAAGAAAGCACACGGCAGTTCCTAGTGACACTGCAGTGGTCCTGAGCTGTCTAGAAAAATAAATGAGAAAATTTGTAGAAAGAGCTGAGGGCTGTGCCTGGGACTCAGAAATTACATGTTATTGTCATTATAGTGACAATGAAGATTGCTAGTTATAGTCTCCCCAAGACCTCCAGGATGCTGTGTGAGATCCCCGATCACCACTGCTTTGCTAACACAGTCCTGATTACTCCCGCCACCCTGGCTCACCTCTAACCTTCACGCGTATCACATTTGCCACCCAGAATGTGCTGTGAACACACAGCTTTCTCTTACGCGCCTGTTCCCCTAAGATCCCTTCACCCATGTCTCTTTCTGTTAACTTCTGCTCAGCATAAACACAGGTGCGTGAGTCCAAAAGAGACAGTCAAGTCCGCTTCTCACCACACCCCTGTAACTAGCCCTACATTAGAAGAAAGAGGAGGGAGAGAGGGAAGAGGAAAAGGAAGAAGAAGGGGAGGGGGAGAAAGAGGAGAAGGAGGAGGATAGGAAAGGCGGGCAGAGTGAAGAGGAAGAAGATGAAGCAGGAGAAGTGGAAAAGGAGAAAAACACAGAAGAACAGAGTGCTTGTTCTGAGAGAAGGCAAACAGCAGGAAATCACAGCTGCCCCCGTTTTCTAGCTGGATACCCATTCCAGACCAGTAAACAGACAGCGGAATATAACATCTCTGAGGTGATAAGATGGAGGCTGAGGGGCTGGGGATTTAGCTCAGCGGCATAAGCGCCTGCCTTGCAAATGTGCAGTCGTGAGTTCGATCCCTGGTACCGATAAAAACGAAAAAGACAAAAAAATAAAATGAAATAATAAAATTTTAAAAAGATGGAGGCTAAAAAGACAGGAAGTGGATGGCCGAGACCAGAGCGAGCTGGCTGAGACAGAGCTCCAGAAATACCACAGGAGCCCTCTTGAGCCCGTACCTGAATTATAAGCTGCGTGTGCTGTGGGTGAAGCTCAGTGTGGCCAGGAAAAAATAAAAAAAAAAAAAACTGACCAGAGCACCGGACACTGACCATGTTCAGATAAAGCTGAATGACTTGGAGTCACAACTGGTCAGAGCAGAGGACCTTCACTGATCATGTTAATAATGTTTTAAAATTAGCCTGAAAAGGAGCAACTTGGCCAACAAATCAACTAACTGCCGGCTGCAGCAGTATCAAACTCTTTAAAGGAAGAAAATACATCCAAGAAGTTGACAATTCAATATCACAGTGTCTAGCATTCACACAGAAACTACTAGACAGGAAAGACAGCAGGACAATGTAACTC